TTACTATGGAGTTTGGTAATTACACTTTTTTTGAGCGTGTAAGCTGTTGGTTACAGATGACCTTTACAGCGTCACTGGGTTTGGCGACGGCGAGATCCTAAGGGGAACTCAAGCCGAGAATTGGCGAGTGCCTCTAGAGGTATTCCAGGCAGAGGGAGTCTCCTTTCCGTCTGGAGCCTCTAGACAACTCGAAACTGAGGGGGGGTCGGCTCAACTAGAGGGCGTCTCTGAGACTCGGACCCCGGCTCTAGTCAGCCGTTGTCGTGGGGGGCAATTACACGCGATAAAAAACGTGATATATTGCAAATTGTGGTGCTCATGCTACGGGAACAGTAGTTTTTAATTCCGTTAGGAACAAAGCTACAGGATCAAATTTTATCAATAATGAGTTAGGATTATAAGACGGTATATACCGCAGTCTTGTCACTTCAATAAGGGAATTAATATCGCGGGGTTTATTAAGTACCTTGCGGTGGTTTACTAAACGATTGATTTATTAAGACATATAGCTTACCACCAGGGTCGAGGCTACAGATGTGCCTCAATTTTCGCAAAAAGGTGTGCAGTGAAATCAAGTAGGTAACGGCTTCATTTAACTGCACACACACACAATCTATTGGGGCCAGACTGTTAAAGAAGCTTTGTTCCTTACTTAACCGAATTATTGACTACTGGACTTGACTTTTCATTTCAGTTTTTATTTGAAGTAATATTTAAGCTGTCGAGTTTTTAGATTTTCTAAAGGACAATGTTAAAATTGGCCTAAGAACCAACACCAATTTGGCATTTATGATAATTCTTACTATATTTTTTGCGATAATTATCAGTATTTAGATTGTGACGGACACTTCCATTGTGAAGTAAGCTAAATTAAAAAGTTAAAAAATAATCTGAGACAATAAATACCATTTTATGTGTATAATCTATGGCAGCGCTGCAAACAAAACACTCTTTCTTCCTAATGCCAGCACTTCACTTGGCTATTCGCATTTGCTATTTTAAAACATGACATCAGTCTGTCCTTTTCATTCCTTATTAAGCATGACAAGGACAAACTATTGTCAAGTGAAGGGCCGGCATAAAACTCGTTACTCTGTGGTTGCGGTGCATGCAGTTTGCATTCGTAGTAATCTGTAGCATTCGTGCATTCCAAAGAGCAGTATTCCGGAAACTGCATTCTCGTTTCGGATTACCTGTTGTGTGTGTTTATTTGCGATTATTTTTCCTTTAATTTAACTATTTCGGCTATCTAATATGCTATCGACGTTACCAAAGAGCAGAGCCCTTATTACCAAGTGCTAGTGAACCTGTGCCATAACATCCTGAGAGGATCATACTACCAAATTATTCAAGAACACCTGATACACATTCACGCTGCATATTTACAAAATATGCCTACATGTGATATACAAATAAATACAATAAACAATATGATACAATTATGTGAAAAATAGTCAATAAATAAGAAGCAAAACTACAGTTTTTATTTTATTCATGATTCCTACCTAACCAAGTTTTTCCTAATAGTTATTCTTTAAAATCGCACCGAATAAAATGAATTAGTTGTAATATTAATTCACTTCATACTGAGTTTATACTAAATTCATAGACCTATGTTTCATTGAATATTAAACATAACCTCAAAAAAATTTTAGTTTTCCTAACAATTTAAGTTCTCAGAAGTGTCCGTCAGTAATCTTTGTTTTTACAGTCATTTACTTACGATTTTGAACCTAGAAAATAATATTTCATGATTGTTGGTTCATAGGCTAACTATGTATGGACGCTGAACAATGTCCTTTACCTTTTTTATTAAATATTTGTCGAAATGGCATTGTGTCAAAGGCAAGGTTTATCGTCTTTAAATATCAAAAGCGATAAAAGTATTTGTTTTTATAAAAAATAAATTGATAATACAAAATGTGCATTTTGAAAATGGATATCAAATAAAATTTTATATTAGATTCACTATTTTAACGATAATGGCTTACACATTAAAAATAGATATAATATGCTGTCCAGGACTTTTTGTAGAACTATATATGAGATATATTTCCACTATACATTATATTCATATAACTTCTATTGATTTTGCAGTGCAGGCCAAAATGGCTCGCAAATAGGATATTTTTTTTTCGTCTTACGTTTTACTTATTGTTATATATTTGTTTCTTAGGTTTTCACGCACATCACTCATTAAATAAAACTAGTTTTTTACGGGTTAATGTACGAAACTTTATTTATTTATTGACGTTTCGCAGCCTTTAAAGGCTGCTTCGTCAGAATCAATTTTTTATTTAATTTTGTCGAGCTACCTTCGAAAGACTTTTATTGAGCGTTCGGTTATTTCATTGTTCGATTTTTAAAGTTTTGTTGTCTATGTATGAATTTATTACTTAATTTAGTTTATAAAGGACTTTATTTAAAATATTTTTTTATAATTTTGAGTTTATTTATTTGACCCTAACTATATTGTTATATTTTGGCCAATTCATCCAATAACAATACAATACAATACACTAGCCCGAAAGATTCGCTCCACTCTACAATTTGTCGCAGATCATTATTTGTGGCCAGTATTGCTTCGGATAATTGACCGAGAGGGGCTTGCCTATAAATTTGAAGATAACTACATATATTATTATCTTTGTTTTATTATTATGTATGAGCTATATTTTTGTTGTGTCATTAAAATCGATTCAGCATTTTTTGTGTGAAAGAGTAAAAAAGATCCATACAAACGTAAGATTGAAATTAAATAAAATGAAAAGTAGCGTAAGTAACCTAAACATGTTTTTCGTTTATCTGGACAATGATACCCCACTCGACATATTTCGTCAATTTTTTATTTCTTTCTCACAATATGGCGCCTAATAGGGGTGAAGACGGGGTAAAGTAAACGTAATTCTATTTAGTCCGTCAGTTAGAAGATCAAAAAATAATGGACACGCATTTTTTCTTTGGTCAATCAACCAAAAAATTACAAAGATAAAGCGCGTCAAAGTTTGGGAGTGGGGCATCGTGACGTCACTTTTAAGTAAAAATTTTACCAAAACGTGACGTGTGACGTCATGCGACTTTTCAATTCAATATATCTATGTAATGTTTTGATTATTTGAAAAAAAGCAAAAAAACATGTCTAATACTTTTTGATAATCTACCTGATAAACGAAGAAAAAAAAGTTAGCAGTCATCCCTATTGTCCCCATAATGAATTTCGATTACTAAAATATTATATTTTTAGTTATAGACTGTTAAACAGTATACCCTGTCGAGTGGCGTTTCGCGCTCTTGCATTGCGCAGTCGGGTAAAAAAGGCATACATAGAATAAGTAATATTATATTTTATGTATGAAAATCAACTCTTTAGTGATAAATATCAAGGAGGAATCAGTCGAGAACGTTTGTATTCAAAAAGCATTGCTCGTCACCCCTCTCTGGGGCAAAGACCATGACCTATGACCATGACCCACCACGCGAGCCCGGTGCGGATTGGTGGGTGTTAACGACTGCAGATACAGCCGCGGCTATCAGCTTAAAGTGCCTTCCGAAGCACGCTACAGCTCAAGATAGTTTTTGGTCACCCATCCAATGACCGACCACTGCGGAACTTGCTTAACTTAAACGATCGCAGCCGAGCGTACTAAGCACTTGCGCCATCGAGCTCCTCTATTATTTAGTATGTCTTGTAATTTATTAGTCTTGCCTGAAACCTTGAAGGAGTTGAATTTCTACTAGTGCATTAAAATCTTTAGATGTCTTGTAGTGTTTGAATTGTGTGGGCCCCGCGCCTTTGCAAAACAACCAAAATCATAAATTTGGAGTGAGGGTGTGTGTGTTTGCATACGTGTAGGTGGTGCATATGCGTGTTATGCGAGGTTTTGTATATAAATATGGTAGTGCGTTAGTAAATGTATGTGATAGGGTATTGTTCTGTCGGCTCGAAATCCAGTCCCTTTAACGAATCTGTTATAGTGTTTTTTTCTCTTATGACAGGCCATTAATGACCGGCAATTTTATTAACTCGAGCTTCTCTGTGCCTCGGTAGGATGCTTTAAACCTTTGGTTCTGAGTGCATCTGCAGTCGTTAGCATCCACCAATCCTTACTAGGCCCGCGTGGTGTGCCATGGCCCCTTCTTTCTATTTTATCCATAGTGAAAGGCTGTGCCCCATCATTAGGGACATTAATAAGTGGGTGATTGTGATGATTAAATATAATGATTTATGTTTGTGTGTTTTACTATATTAATTAATTCATTTTAGTGGTAACTCGGTTAAAGTAGGTTGACCTTAATAGAAACTCAGATAAGTATTGAATCATCCAGTGTCATCAATGCTCTGCCAACTCAGTTACTTGTAATATGGGAGCTGTAGTCAGGAACATATTGTTCGCGAACAATCTCGTAAACAAAAGAAGTAGGTCAGTATACCTAGTGTTGATTTATTTTTACACTCGCTCCAATAGGATAGCCTTTTGTAAGTACTGCACCTAAGGCTTTAGGTTATAGGGTAGAAATACAAATAATGTTTTACATACAGGTATATTTTTGTGTACCTATATATACAGCTACGACTCGGGTACAAAACCTCGTTTTCATCATACAAACGGTTGCCTCTACCGGGATACGAACCCAGAGTGGGCGACGCCTCTAAAAACAGTGTACACGCCACTCTACCACGGAGGTCGTCTCAACATCATTCAAGTAGCCTATCATGACATTACAAGTAATCCGATATAAATAATATGAAATAACATAATATGGTCTCTAAATCATATGGCAGACAGAATATATCACCAACGTAATGTCTTTACACTGTCTAAGCAATGAGTTACTAATTGTAAAAGAACAAAGGTAAAAATTAGGCCTATGAAATGTCGCAATGATTATACACCGTAATTAAGCGGAACGCGGGCCGGTCTCCGTCCTTGCCCGTTGGTTTCACCAGCAACACGCGGTTTATAGATATAAATGCTCTCTCGATCTATGCAAAGTTAGTTCGACCCTAGTAACCAAACAGAACGAATGGTACAAACAGCCATCATGAGGACGCTTATTGCCCTTGCTGTGTTAGCATGTGTGTTAGTTAATAGTACAGGCCGCGAGATCGGCCAGCAGGAGGCGGACCTGGAGGTAGCTGCCAGTCACCATAAAGGTCACCACCACGAGGAGGGCGGTGGTAAAGAGCATCACGCGGATCACCACCATGAGCACGGCCACAAAGGGCACAAGGGCCACAAGGGACATCACCACCACCACAAAGGTGAACACGGCGAACACCACAAGCACCACCACGAAGGTCACCACCACGAGCATGGCGGCGGGCACAAGAAACACTGGGACGAACACGACCACCACGGAAAACACCACGAGCACGGCCACCACCACAAGGGCGGCAAGCACGGACACAAGAAGCACCACGACAAAGGTGAAGAGGTCGAAGGCTACCATAAGAAATACCACAAGGACGAATACCATAAAGATCATCATTTCTACGACGACCACCACAAGGAAGGCAAGCACCATAAACATGGCCACCATCATGGACATCACGATAAGAAGGGAGGCCATCACAAGAAAGGCGGGCACCATCATTCAGGACACCATGAGGGCCATCATGGCAAACACCACCACCACGACAAACACCACCACGACGAAGACCACAAGGGTCACAAGGGACACCATGGCCACGAGGAACACCATCACCACCATCACGACCATGGCAAGAAAGGCGGCCACGAAGACCACAAGCATTGGGGATTCCATCACGGCAAACATTGACACTCCTGCCATTAAGATATTTGTTATATCTGTTTTGTTATACTCGTTACCTCTTTGTAAATAAATGATACTTGACTGAAAACGTTTATTTATATAGCAGAAAATCAAATTCGTAATAAAATAAATCACTGGAGAGAGTATAAGTATTATAATATATTACTTAACAAAAACATAATTAGATCACTGTTGCTAAATGAAAACCGATATACATTTTTTGTCGCCACTGTTTAATTATAGGACGCAGACTTGGTCAACATTTTTTATACACGAATTGAATTAACTACTGGGTCACAAAAATTCATCACGTGTACTGTACTCTCAAAAGTGTTAAAATAAACAAAAATATAAAAATAATTTACCATGGCTATTATTGGCTTTGTAACGGAACTAATTGTGTCGGAGCGTAGAACGATGTCGTCAGATTACGGTCGCAGTCAGTCGCACAGAAATCAGCAGCAACTATTGCCAAAGATCACTCTGTAATCGACGATAGATGAAAGCGTTGTTATCTATAAATTCAAAGTGCGGAAACTCTTGTGTCACTTCGGTCGTAACTTCTTAGACTCGCGTTCGTCGATCAACCACGTAAGTTAACTTTTAGATGTGTTTTAGATGTGTTTTAACGCAATTTTCAAAATATTTATTGACCATATTTGGCTTTATTTTTCAGGATGAGGCTCCTCCTGTTGTTACAACTGGGAGCATGCGTGCTAATATCCACAACAGCTCGAAATTTAAACGAAGTAAAAGGCGATAAGGGTGTTCAAGATGCTGTCGCCGTAATAGCGCCAACAGGCGGCGATGCAGTTGTAGCAGCAACGGTGGTGGACCAGGCCTCGGCTGGTACTGAGCACAAGAAGGCTAAAGACAGCCACCACGAGGAAGGCGGCGGCCATGAACATCACGCGCACCACCACAAAGAGGAAGGAGACAAGGGAGAAAAGGGGTACAAGTCACACCACCACCATGATAAGGGTGAACATGGACACCACGATAAGCATCACCACGAAGGCCACCATGATGAACACGGAGGCCACAAGAAGAAACACCATGATGAGCATGACCACCACGGAGAGCATCACGAGGCAGCTCATGGACACAAAGGTGGTAAATTCGGGCACAAAAAGGGGCACAAAAAAGGCTCCAAAACTACTGGCTTCCACCACAAATCTCATAAAGACGAATATCATAAGGAACACAAGTTCTACGACGACTTCCACAAGGGAGGACACCACCACAAACATGGCGACTTCCACGGACACCACGACAAGAAAGGAGGCCATCACAAGAAGGGAGGTCATCACGAGAAGGGTCATCACGAGAAACATCACGGCAAAAAAGGTCACCACGACAAAGGGCATTACGACGAAGACCACAAAGGCCACAAAGGTCACCATGGCCACGAGGAACACCACGCCCACCACGAAGAACACGGCAAAAAGGGAGGACACGCCGGCGGCAAGGAACACGGTTACTCCCACGCGAAGAAAGCGTAGCTCTACAACACTGGCGCAGTTTATTTTACCTTTCTTTCTTGTTTATTTTTTCTGTCTGAAACGAGTCATTTTTTATAATGGTAATTTTTATAAGTTAATTATTTAATTTATAACTAGGTACATACTTAGCATCTAAACTTTTGTATTACCATCTTGGGTTTACAAAAGATGTGACAATTCTTTAGTGCACTCCATAATTGTTAATTGTTACCTAATGTTGAAATAATAATGAAGTGTTAATCAAGTTTGTTTTTATCTAAAGAACATTTTTACTAGAGGAAATATCACACCCGCATCTTCCGCTGTCCGGGCGGACGCACTAACCAATTATGCTACCGATACCATAGCCGTGTAGCCGTGTTGAATTTCTTAGGCTGCAAGGCAGCGTCATCTCTTCATATTGTAGGTACCTAACAGGTAACCCACAATGTCAAACGAAATAAATATATTTGGTTACAAACAAATATTAAAAAAATTTAAGAAGAAATAGCAATGGCAGTGTTTTTTAATGCATTTAATTAAGTTGTAATTGCTATTTCTTTAAAAAAAACTCAGACGGGTTTCAGACGGCACTCGAATCCGCATTTTCCGCTATCAAAAAAACTTTTTTGGTTTAAACATCTAGTAGTTAAATGCTTAAAAATAATAAAAATATGATAAGTTTGTTATATCTCATATTGTTATAAATCTTAATGAGTCATGAACAGGGAGAAAAGAAAAACGTAGCATATATATTAGGACAATTAAAAAAATTTCTGAGCCTAGATTCTTCTACATAGGGTACGTACAAATAATATTTTGAGCAAGTCTCATCCTGTCACTGTGCCGATGGTCCGCCTACATTTTTTATCTGGCTGGGTGTACCAAGGGCAATTATTTCTTTCCGTAATTCACCTCAAGATAAATAAGTGTATCTGGGGCTTTTCTTATATCCCGTGATTCTCCGGGCCCTAGTTCACCTGGATGTACGAGGTGTAATTATTTATTCTCGTCGACTACCTTTTTTTTGTCTGAAAAGGGTATGACGCCTCCCTCGACTACCGGGGGTAGCGCGGCAAGGCTATCTGTGGACTCCTCCCAGCTCATTTTATTCAGCTCATGGTTCGCTGAAATAAGCAGAGCCCTACCCAGTAAAAACCAGACAATACTCCGGTACCAGTCACCCGACACGCACTCCAAGGACTCTGAAGTGGCGCTTCCACTTCGTAGCATGGTGTCCGGCACGACAGATAACGGAGCGGCACCACCCCACAGAAGTTAATCCCTGTTGGCCCTGAAAAGGCCCCTTTCTGTCGGATATCCGCAGACTCCGTATACAGATCTGTAAGGGAATCTATAACTACGCAGCCGTTCAGAGTGCACTGGCCCGTAGTCCGTGGGAAAAGCAACGGACCAGGCACGCGAGGTTTGGGAAGGTTATAGTCCCACTGACGGAGGCAGCTTAGTGCCGTTGTCTCGTCGGGTGGAATACCATGGTTATAGGATCTTTCGCCCGACGAGGCCAGGACCCGTCTGTGCGGTGAGGGGCACCGTCAGGCTTTTAGTGGGTAGCACATACCACATATGATTTCTCATCTCACTAACTAATTTTATTTACAATCTTTGTATAATTTAAGAAGGATTTTCTAATTTTCATCCGCCGTCAAGTTTTTAATAAATTCAGTTGCTAAAACAAAAAAATCAACATCGGTTCAAATTAAAACTTACCACCGATTATTGTTCATTGTTGCTGTGCTAAAATCTAATTTAAAAATAATCCCAAATATCTGAATTGTCACCGCGTTAAATACATGCCATCCTTTTAGGAGTAATTATTGGTGTCGATTCTAGGATGATTTTCTAAACCTAAACTTAAATTTGATAGCAGTATATCCATGTCATTCTCTATACAGAATGAAAAGGAGAGACTGATGTTAAATTTAGTTTTAAGTTTAGAGTATCACGCCAGAATTGGCACTATTAACTACCTATTTTAACATTTGGTCGTAATTTACAAATGTCTAAAATTGTAGTTTTGTAAATTAAAGTTAGATGGCATAGTTTGCTATTGATAGGTACCTAAGTAAGGCAAGTATTAAATGAAAGTGGGTTTTATTTTAGAGAAATGCTTGAATAAAAATGAAGAGTTCGCTAACTCGCTACTTTTTTTCCCGACTGCGTAATGCAAGAGCGCCAAGAGCGCGAAGCGCGACGAAGTACACAGGTCCACAGGTAATTTTTTCCCTCTGGGTAATTGAAACTAATATCAGTGATCCCACCACTGTCATGTTTAGAAAAATATGCAGGTTGAAGCGAGTCTGGTCAGCACTCGGCTGGCCTCTCTGGAGGAAAGGCTGCCACCACCGAAGATCATCAGACCGCCGCTGGCGGCGGATCGCAAGGTGGGGAACGCGTCGGAGGCGAAAGCGACGGAGCCATGGAGTGTGGTGGTCGCAAAGAAGAAGGGCAAGGGCACGATGCCTGCAGTCAACCCTGAGCGGAAGGAGGGGACCGTCGAAGAATAAGGGCGTGCCACAAATCAAGGTGCCGAGCACTGCCGCAGTGTGGAGCTAGGCTTCACCTTCACGAACATCGTGGAGATGGCACGGACGGCTATTGAATTGCCGTCCGTGGTCATCGACGACGGCTTGACTATAAAGACGAGCCAGACGGGATCCAGGCTCCTACTCATATCGGGGCCTGGTAATAGGGGAAAGGCGGATACCCTCGCCAAGCGAATGGAGGAGGCGGTTGGTGAGTACGCGGAGATAGGCAGACCAGAAAAGTGCGCCGACCTAAGGATTATCGGGCTCGATGAGTCGGTGACACTTGAAGAGCTGAAGAAGACGATAGCCAGGGAGGGAGGTTGCTCGGAGCACGAAATCTCAGCGGGGGGTGCTCACCCAGGACCGGGAGGAATGAGGGGGATGCTCATCCGGTGTCCCACATGGGCTGCGCGGAAGGTAGCAGAGGGGGGGAAAATAAAGGTGGGATGGAGTCTCGCTAAGGTGACGGTCCTAAGCCGGTGCGCGCACTGCTTCAAGTGCATGGAGAGGGGGCACGCGGCAGCCCGTTGCCTGGCCAAAGAGTACCGAAGCACCCGGTGCTTGGCAGCGGATCACAAGGCGGCGACGTGTGCTGCACCCACCAGATAAGTTGTGTGCGCGGCGAATGGTCGGCCGGCAGACCATATAATGGGGAGCGGGAGGTGTGGCCCGCCGGTCACAAAGGGCAAACCTCCCGAAAGAATGGTCTCTGAGGCGGCGCCCGGACGGACGCCCTCAGAGGGGGGGATGTCCGAGTAGCCTCGGCTGCTCGGACCCCCCTACGAATGCTGTCGCCCGCCTCTCCCACGTCTTCTCCTAGGAGAAGACGTGAGGATACGCGGGCGACCGGGAGGGGGGAGAGGGACGGGAAGAACTACGCTTCCCCTCCCGTTCCCCCCTCCCAGGAACGGCTGCCCCCTCCTTGTAGTTCTGTCCTACAAAGGGAGGGCGGCGGAGGGTTCTTGGACGGATACGCCCAGGAGTCCCCTCCGCAGCGGATGGGGGGCGGTATAGTGGGCAGAAGGCCGCGTACCCAGCCCTCACGCGCGGGCCTACCTGCACACGTCTGCGGGGTCCCCGAAATACCGCGGGAGACCCCTGCCGTGGAGCCCCGGCGAGGCCGGGAAGCTGCTAGGTGCGGGGACGCGGAGAAGTCCCACCAGTGGGGATCCCGCGGCACCGCATCAGGCAGTAGTGAAGGTATTCGCAGGACTTTTTTAGCGGATATTATACCGTAAAGCTCCCGTAAGAGTTGCGGGGTCCCAGGTGGGCATTCACTGGGGGGGAAGACTTGCAGGAGCCAGGTGTGAGGTCCGTTCGGCGGTGTGCCCCTTAGACGCGCCGTCGTCTGTAAAAAGATTTTTTACCTGCGTAATAAAAAAAAAAAAAAGGTTGAAGCGAGTCTACGGGGAAAAAGAAATCATCTTTCTACCCACCAGTAGGGAAAAATAGTGGACCGCGGTTAAAAGGCGGGTACAAGTATAGAATTTAGGAATAATGACAACACTAACATCCTTAAAAACCAGAAAAAAAAATTCAAGAGTTTTAGTCTTCTTATTATGATGCTCTTTGCTACGGAGTCATTGAGACTAAAAGAACTAGATACATTTTAACTCATTTATTTGATATAAAATGCTGAATATCAATTTACAATATAGCCATAAGTGGGGCTAAATGTTCAAAATCTATTTTTTCAGTAATGTTCTTGGTTTTGATGTTATCATCTTGATTGGCAATGAAAATAAGATTTCCATCATCCCTCCAACCATATTTTTTCACCCAATGCTTGAGAGTTACATCTGAAATTATAAAAAAAAAAAATATTAAAGCAATGCACATTTCTTTCACATTTGTGATTTTTTTTGGTCTAGCCGCAAACATCTAGAGTAAAACTATAGAAAAACAAACTTGCACAGTAGATGCTTTAACTGCCTTTGTGCAACTGTTCTTGTTTTTGCCTTGTTTCATATTCTGTGATCTTTATGTTAGGGGCCTTTCAAGTATTACTTAAGCAGATTTATTACAATTATTTATCCCCTCCTATATGTATGTACATTGCTACTGTGCAAGTTTTACTGTCTATGCTTTACGCTCAGGATGTGTGCAGGTGTGTATAACACATACCATCAATTCCTCCCAAGAGATTAGCCAAATTATCCTTGTCAATGGTCTGGAAAGTAATTCCAACAACATGACAAACAAATTTACGTATAGAATCATGAAATCCATTGATACGGCTACACAATTCAGGCATTTGATGAACTCTATTCCAAAACTGCGCAAAGTCACACTGCTCCAAAATATCAGCCAAATATTTTATCTGAGAAATGGTTTCATTCTCTACCTGAAATACAAGCAGTTTATACATTTTAATTGGGTAAATATTTAAATGATCCTCAAAAAATTATAAAATATCACCTAAAAATACAATTGGTAACCTTAAGGTTAGGTTAGGTTTCCAATATTTTTAAGATCCATTAAATATGTGCCTTTATATAACTTATAAATTCTTTGAGCGAACTATAAAAAATGTTTTAAATATTTAATGACATAATTATTTACCACCGATTCAAGAAGTAAACACTTGCAAAGAGTGAAATCAGTGTGTGGGAAATTGGTCAAAGCTTTCAAAAGAATTTGGCAAGTTATATCTGGGTTAAACTTCTCTGGATTAAATTGATACAGTTTGAGCACTGCCAAGTTTGCCTCCAAATCGTAAGTATTTTCACGAGATTGCATTTCCACGTAGCGTTCCAAGGTCTGAAGATTAGCCGGATTGTATCTATAAAAATATTTTAGTTATTAAAACAACTCATTCTGCAAAATTAAATAAAATTATAGAAACTTAACCTACAAGCGTCCAACTACTTACCTCTCAATACTTTTCAGTATACTTGCTACTGTTTGTTTCATTGTTTCGGCCATATTTCAAGATTACACAAATATTATGTGCTTTTGATTGGGACAAACTAAAATGAAATTAAGCAATATACATTTAGAACCAAAACTGTCCAAAACCACACACACCAGAATCTGTGTTTTTTTTTCGTTTGTTCTTTGGGACAGGCTAAGGTCTGCTGGGACCATACTGCCTCGTCATTACTTATTTTTTTTTTATTATTAAAATTCAATATAACTTCTTCAGTTTAATATTCCAGTATTTTTTTTTCATCTTTCGATTTTCTACAGTATTTTTACTCTATTATTATGTGCTTTTTTCCGAGCACATTGAACATCCTAAACACCAAACAATTTTTTCTCATAGTACATAGTCCAATTATAAATTAATTTTCATCCTATAATAATTTCATATTTATTTAATATCTTTTTTAAATGACACACAAAAAAATCATAGACCTGAATAAAAGAATGCAATAGGTACCCATATCCTAATATAAAACAAACGAAAAGAAAAAACAAAAATACAAAAAAAAAAATATGGGTGCGTGTACATAAGTACGCGCGTGAGAAGTTATACTTCTTTTTGGAATTATTAAAACATAGTTTTTAATTGCATGCAGATAATTAATTACAATAAGATAATAAAAGGATTGGAAAAGGATAGTCAACGCAGTCAATAAAGTTCAATTTTAATTTGAAAAATTTAATAAATAATCAAAATATTCAATTTAAATCACTACTGAATAAAATTTATTAGCACATATAAATTTCGCATTTGTATAACATTATAACACGTGTTAAGAATATAGAAACTAGAAACATGTGGATAAATATTATAAATATGAAAACAGTGATCAGAGGCGACGAGCGTCCCCAGGGCCGTGCCTGGGTATATGGCCGCCTGCGTGCCAGTCTGTATGGCCGCCCCCAGGATAACATTAAAAAAAACTACTTTAATTTTTAATGTTTATTATTATACACAGGGCATCAAACCGGGAAAAAAATCAGTTTTTGGTTAACCGAAATCGAGAACGAAAAAAAATATTGGTTTTGTTCCCAAAACCGGTTTCTGAAAAGAAAAACCGGCTAAAAACCGGTTTTATGAGATTTATATGTTTGGATGAAATTTAAGAAAAAAAAATGCACAAAATAAACATTTTTTTATTTAAAATTTAAACAAAAATAATAACATGAAAAAATTATGGTATTGGTTTTATAATCACAGACAAAATTATCAAACATAAAGAACAAGGAATAATGAAAACAAACCGATTGTATTTTTGCCCAGTAAACAACTTGTAACGATTTGGCCGCCTCTTAATTTCGGCCGCCTGCGTGCGGTGCACGCAATGAACGCCCGTCAGGCACGGCCCTGAGCGTCCCAACATGTGCGACTAAGAGATCCTATTACTATTTTGTTGGAAGCTTTTTTTCGAGACTTACGAGTAATGTGCGGTTTAGCGGCCGACTTCATGTTACTTTTCTGTTACAGTGTTGCGCGCGCATCTTAAAATTTCACTCTCATCATTTTTTCATAACGCGCCCGCGGCTAACTTCATTATGTTACTTTTGTGTTACAGTGATGCGCGCGCATCTTAAAATTTCACTCTCATAATTTTTTCATAACGCGGCTAAAGAAGTATAACTTCAAAAAGAAAAAACTAATCTATAAAAACGACATTTGAAATACGTTAACGTGGTATCGGCGTGAGTCGTGACGTCTCAGTATAAGTATGAATGTTTTGCCGTTACGCGTCTTATATTACAGTTATTGGAAAAATGAAATCAGAAAAACAAAAAAAAAATGATTATGGCTGATTACGGAATTACTATACGGATATCCACATTGATAGTTATATGTATAGATCAACAGCTAATTAATGCTGTTGGATCTTTAGACAGTGACGAAACGACGTCAGAAAGTGATATTGGTTGTAGTGTATTAGAGTAATAAAATAATCCATTAAATATATTTTTGTTTCTTTCAATTATACAAATTTGGTAAGTATTTTAATATATTTATTCAATAAACATATGATTTATTGGCTATAAATAATGGCAATCACATAGTGCAAAAAATTTATAATTATTAGTCTAATTACTAGAAAAGTATAACTTCTGAAAAAGTAATAATATCATTTAAAATTATTTCCCTCTCCTTAAGAAACTGTAAACTAAAATTTAACAGTGGTGTCGATTCTAGCATGATTCTCTAAACCTTAACTTAAATTTGACAGCATTGGTATCGATTCTGGCATGATTGTCTAAAGCTTAACTTAAATTTGACAATAGTGTGTCCTTGTCATTTTCGATACAGAATGAAAAAGACAGACTGATGTCAAATTTAGTTTTAAGTTAAGAGAATCCTGCCAGAATCGACACCAGTGTATCCTTGTCGTTTTCTGTACAGAATGAAAAGGAGAGACTGATGTTAATTTTAATTTTAAGTTTAGCGAATCACGCCAAAATTGGCACCAGTATAAATCTATATTTTGAATCGATTGTCATAAGCAATTAGCTATATTTCGATTGGATATGCAGGGTGTCACTGTTTTTTTTTTCTTAATGGCTTCGTACGGCTTGTGCATTTAGCCAATGTCAAGTGTTAAATGTAGGTATACAAATACTATAGCACTCGTGGTCAAAGTAATAAGTCAAGTCAAAGTAAGTGGCAGTCAAGTCAATCCCCGTTTCCCCATGTTTCAGTAAAAGTGTGGGGATTTAGTGGAACCTCCCCGTGGACTTCTTGAGGGAACGTCGAAAGACACTTTTCGCTATTTTGTTTCACTTGCCAACACTTGTGCATGTTCCCGAACACTTAGTGGTTAATAATCCACCATTATTAGACACTAACATCCGCCACAACACAATTTTTAACAAGAAAAACAAAACTGCTAAAGTGACGCTTCCCGATCCCGCCAAAAAGTCAGGGTGTCACTTGAAGTCACGTCTCTTTAACTGTCAAAGAGGATTTTTTTTTGAAGTGAAACTTCTTTATCGGCGTTGGAAAAAAAATTACCGTCACATTTTTCGGTTACGCGTCACATTTTTCCGTTACGCGCCATCTTTTTTTATATTAATAGTTGATAGCTGAATGATCACACTGTCGCCGGCGAGAACTCTCTCTACTCGTTTGTAGCTGAGTGACAATAGTTATTAAAGATAAGACTCGCTCAGCCAAACTCGCATAGCCATACTCGCTCAGCGATACTCGCTCAGCGATGCTCGCTCAGCGATACTCGCCCAGCGATACTCGCTCAGCGATACTCGCTCAGCGATACTCGCTCAGCGATACTCGCTCAGCGATACTCGCTCAGCGATACTCGCTCAGCGATACTAGCTCAGCGATACTCGCTCAGCTATACTCGCTCGGTTAAGCTGGCTTGGCTGTCAAAAGCCGTGCGCGTGCATTTTAACTCAGGACTGCCAATTCGTTTCTAGTTTCTACTCGCTTATCGTTCATCGTCGGAGGTGGAACATGTGCCTTAGATTACTGAGCCGTGTAATCATAACAGTTTCATAGGCAGTAATTTGTATTCATGTCTATGATAATAAAATCCTTTTGTTTAAACTTTATCTAATTTAACTTTATTTAACCAATTTCTGGAAAGTTGCATGTAGATCATTTTTCGAAAAATAAGGCCATAAAGAAGTTTCACTTCTTACGTGTGTACACTAGTACACGCACACATTTTTTTTGTTGAAGCTCTCCCGTTTTAGGGAACAATGCCCATACAGCCTAGTCTTTAATTAAATTAATCTTCTTTTTGTTTTTACATTAGAATGTCGGTGTGACGCATTCTAATGTTTCTTGGAGTGTTTGGCACGAAATGTATCGAGTTGACTTTTTCGATAAGCTTCTGTGAGGTAGTCAACACTACAATAAAATTCTCACGTCCACTTGACCGGAATAGCGTATATTTTAACGATTCCACTAATTCTTCAGTTACGCAGACGGTTGTTACACAAAACCACACCAATTTTATTTCACAATATCCACTATGAACGAATTTAAGAATAATTAAAATAAGACGCTAACCGCACTCGATGAAATCCCGCCAAAAACCCCTTCAAAGAGGATGCACTGATGATGCCAGATTGGGGGGATTCCCCCCAAATTTGGGTGGTTTTTAAAGCGATGGTGGGATAATTCGGGGGAAATATTTTTGGGGGGATTATTGGGGGGAAGAAATTTTGGTTTATGGGAAATAGAGGGTTTTTTTCCATGTTTTATACAAAAATAATACCCCTTCATTAACTTTTAATCTGTAAAAAGTCGCGATCAACAGTCAATCAACAGTCTCTCTTTCCCATTCGGTACAGAGCATGACAACAGTTCAACATTCTCTAGAATCATGCAAGCATCGGCCCCACTTAACTGTGTTCATATTCAGTGAGCCCGATGCGGACCCCTAAGTCCAAAGCCCACTTAAAAAAGTACTTTTCAGTCCATTCCGTCTAGCCCAGTCGGTCGGTCAGTCAAGTCCATGTCAAATCAAGCAAGTAAGAAAACACAAACCAAATAACCCAGACCACTGTAATTATGTGACTAAAACAGAATAATAATAAAAAAAAAAACAAGCAAGTAAAAGTCAGTCGTTAATGGTCGTTAGCTTAAACTGCAAATCGATTCGACACTATCTCTCAACTTTGCTCGTAATTTTTCAATTTGTTCTTTAAATTGTTTGCATCTTGGTAAGATAATGGCAGTGCACTATCAAAACAAAGTTATGTGAAAAGACCAGAAACATATTAACGTGTTGTGTCGTGTCACGCCAGAAGAAAATCGGGTTCATACATTTACTATGGTCAGAGACATATTAACGTGTCGTGTCGAGTTGACGCTCTAACCTCACTCTGTCTAACCCACAATTAGGGCTGCCATCCGTCCGGGTTTCCCCGGATTGGTCCTAGTTTACAGGGCGTCCGGGGAGCGTCCGGGCGGGGTTTCATTTCTAGTCCGGGTTTATAATTTTTCTGTTTTTGATCGCCAATTGATCCGTCAATATGTCTTTGAAAATAAATAAATCTATTCTAACACTGTAACCGTAAATGCTGACTTCCTACAAAGATCAGTACCCCTAGCACGAACCAATATCGAATTCGTATAGTTTGCGAACACGAAATGTCATTGTCAAATGTGTACTGATTC